TGAGGCATATCAAGCAAAGACTCAACTAAGTCTCCATCTACGAATCCCACAGCCTGGAACAAGAAATCTCGAATAGAGTCAGCGAGCATCAAACCACGATCACCTTATCAACGATTTTTTCGCTCGTAAACTGTCGGTAAACAGCATGATCAATCCTCATACAGTTATCAGTCTCTCTAGCCACGCCTTTTTCTACCTCCGAGAAGAATCTGAAAACAATTGTTGGGCGAGATTTAGATGTCAAGCCGTCATACTTGAAGTATTTCTCCGGTAGCTGTACAATTAGGCCAATCGTACCATCAATGGTACCAAAAAGTATGGGCTTTGTGATCGGCAGAGGGTTGTCCACATGGCTGGAGACAAGCGATCCTCTTCGAAAAACGTTTACCATCTCACCCAAATAGAACATCCCAGCTTCCTAGAGGGATCTTTACCATGCGAGAGCACTTGCAGAATTTTGGAAAAAAACTTACAGCTAATCTCCGTTTTTCATCCGCATTGTCTGCTCCCCTATCAATTTCACACGTGAAGAGATTGTGCGCAGCTTCAGCTCCAAGAGCCGTCTCTGCATCGATAAACTCAACTGCAGACATCCACATCCCGCGAAAATCCCTGGATGGATAGAAATTTGTAAGAAACGCACAAGCTGCTGGTATACTGACTTAGCGACTTCCTCGAATGTACTCTCAACGGCCTTGTAATTCAAAATTGTCATGGAACGCATGAGATCGCCTACCAAAACTTGGTCACCCTGCAAGCCCTTCTTTCTTAAAGCTAAAAAGTAGGAAGATAAGAGATCACCTTGACTTTGATGAACAGAGCTGTGATGTAATTGAAATGCGAACATTCCAACCGCAATTCCTTTTCTGAGGTCCACTCAAACAATCGAACAGAACTAAAAATAACATGTCGAAACGAACTGCAAAGGCTTTGCATAACGAAGGTATCGAAGAATAATGTTACCTATTTATAGCTACAATGAGCTTGCCATTGAGCACATCCATACTGAATGGAGCGCCACGTATTTCTTTTTCATGTACTAACCGAAGGTGGGTTCGTTCTGATCCTTTGCCAGATTCGAATACTAGTAAACGGCCCTAAAATAGTCTCTTTTTGAAGGAAATAGAGCTGATAACACTGGAAAACATACGCTTTTGGATTCCGTTTCGTCGCTGTAGACTAGAGCAGTACCAACAATATAGTAGGTAGTAGGGTCATCACCAAGTTTTGTAGAGATTATGCTGAAGAAAAGCAAAAAAAAA